GAAGGAAGGAAGGAAGGAAGGAAGGAAGGAAGGAAGGAAGGAAGGAAGGAAGGAAGGAAGGAAGGAAGGAAGGAAAAAGAGAGGGGGAAGGAAGGAGAGATAGAGAGGCGGGAAGGGGAAGAACGCAGGGAGGGAGGAAGAAAGGAAGGAAGGAAGGAAGGAGCACCTGAAAAACTGTCCAGTTGAAAGGCGTGATCCCCAGAAGCTACAATGGAGGTCTTCGCAGCGCTGTTGGTCATCCCTTCTTAGGCCACCCCAGGATGAGCCAACGCAGAAAGGGGGCTGAGTTGTTCTCTTTGTCTGACAGAGGTGAAGGGCGGGGGGCCTTGGTGGGCCACATTTGTGTTCCACTCCCCTTTTAACCAACCTCAGTAACAGTCCAAAGCAGTTAGTTCTGCATCTGTAGGGATGGGAATAGAGGGCAAGCTCATTTAAAAATGTGGATTTGGTTCGTGTTCAGGTAGGTGTGCCCGTGCACACACTGATAGCTGCCTGTTTCAAAGGAGACCTCATCTTAAAAGAAGCATTATCTTGGGGGCGGGGGTCCTTCTATCTGGCTGGGGAATTCTGGGAGTTGAAGTCCACACCTCTTAAAGTTCCCAAGGTTGAGAAACACTGGACTGGATGCTTTTCATCTGGGTTTTCTTTCAGGATTGGAGACAAAACAATCTTAATTTCTTCAACAATACTGTGTGAAACTCAGTGTGCATTCAAGAACTTCTGGGTTGCATTATCTACAGCACATCTCACCCAATCAGTGACAAACCAGTGGCATTCACGGATGGTGCTGAACTGGGTTTTGCTTTGCGGCTTAATGCATTGTGCAAATCTAGTCTACTGAGTTAATCCAGAAAAAGTGTTAATTCCATCATCAGGTTAAGCGTGATTGCATGTTTGAGCCCCAATGCATGTTAAACGCCTTGTAAACTATAGCTGTAGCTGACCAGAACTTAACAATATGCGACCAATCAGCCCTTATTCTTCTTCTATAAGCTGTTTTTTGGTGCTGCAATTAAATCCAAGGGCAGGAAAAGAGACAGGAAGACCCACATGGTCTTCTCTAAAGTATAAATAGGTTTGTGTGGCAATGGTGTTAGGCAATGTATGTGTATTTCCAATATATAGTGGTCTTGGCTTAACTAACT